GCCATTTCTCCAGCTGCTGAAATTAATCTTTTTATATAGGAGAAGTCCAATACTTGCTTTAACATGGAGACTTCATCTAAATACTAAAACTCAACCCCAAGAAAGACTTGGTCTTAAAAAGAGGAACCAGGATGGGGATGTTCCTGGACTGTAAGGAAAAAGGAATAGGGATGAGCTGAAGGCACAGTAGTGTTTTAAATGGCCAGCTAGGCCAGATGAGCCTGCCAGCTGGCCGCTTTCCCAAAGCCTTGGCAGGAGCAGGTAGACAGCCACTTGTCCAGAGGCCACCAGATACTTAGCAAGAGTCCTAAAGGACAGAGCAGGTCATGTTTCTGGTTACGAGAAGCAGCATGAGGTAACCCTGAGCACCTGTCCTCTCGGAACCCCAAAAGGAAAGTGGCTGTGCTGGAAGAAGCTGAAGTGGAGAGAAAGGCAATAAAGGCCGAGAGCCTGCACCAGAATTAGAGAGAATGCTGAAAAATCATTCTAGTGGTGTTATTCATTTATTTAGTGTGTGAATGTGTATGTGTGTGTGTGTGTGTTCTGTCTTTCCACCGTATGGGTCCTAGGGATGGAACTCAGGTGATCAGGCTTGGAGGGGAAGCTGTCATCTCATCAACCTATGGAGCAGGTCTGCCCTTTTTATTTGTTTGTTTGTTTGTTTGTTTGTAAAAATTTAAGCTAGAGTCTCACTGTGTTGGTTTGAATGAGAGAGCCTTTCATTTCAGCTTCCTCAGCACCAGAGGCAGAGGGCATGGGCCACTACACCCGGCTTTGGGAGGGCGTTCTTTTTAATACACACTTAGAAGCAGTGTAGCAAGGATCACACGGAAAGGAGCTTAATTTATTCATTCAGCATTTTTTTTTAAACCTGTTATATAAGGAGACACCTGTAACCAGCTCAGATGGGGCTACAACCTCCAAATGTTAGCTGTGCAATAAGCAGATGGTACCTGGGTGGTTCTAGAAGAGATACAGCATCCAGGTTGATAAGGACCTGAGAGCTCTCACAGGAAATAACACCTAAGCTGGGAAAACGGAGGAGGCTAGTGTTTCTTCTCTTTTCATCCAAAATACCACGAGAGTCAAAAGACACGGAGGGATGGTGATGTTCCATATTTGTCCTTCGTGTGCGTCTCTCTGCTGGAGTCTGACCACCAGTGTAGGCTCAGTTCTGTCTCTGCAGGGCTTTCTTTTATGTAATCTTATTTCTAGGTCTCAGCAATGTTATTTTATCTTTTTCTCAGTGTTCAGAGATATGCAGTATGTCATGATTTTTTTTCCATTCTCTATTAATTACAGTGTGTTTCACTGATCTGTTATTTAAAAAAAACTACTAAAACTTAGTAGTTCAAACAGCTGTGATGTAACTGTTTCTCTACTTCTGTGAGCCACATGGGCATTATTCTGCTGGCTTCTGGGCTTCTTCATGTGGTTGCTGGTGGGTCGGACAGAGGGTTTCTGTTGGGCTGGCAGGTCCAAGATGGCTTCAGTCATATATGAGAGTTGGTCCTGGCTATTGCCTGCCACCCTGCTTCTCCTTGAGGCCTACACCTGCTTCCTACATGGTGATTTTCAGATGACAACCCCAGGCTAAGGCAGACGTTTGTTGGAAAGCCTCTTGTTACAATTTATGTCACTTTACTTAATCCTGTTGTCACAAGGCCAGTCACAGGTTCAGGGGATGTTAGAACAGCCTCAGCTTCTCCATGAAGATTCAGGGAACAGCTGCCATTTGCTCACGCTACATAATCACCTATAGAATGTCTCTATGATTCTGCTTCTGTGTTGAAGTAAATGTGCCAGTGTTACACTGAATGGAATCTTTATTGCTCCCATCAGCCAAACTATCACTAACCTCAGGAAAGCATCCTAATAGTACTTTCTAAGGTGGACTAAAGTGCCAAATAGGACTGACCTAGGAAAAGATGTAGCTAAGTAGTTTTTAAATATGAATTCTGTGATCTACCTAATAAGGTTTTAAATGAGGTCTAATATGTGCTAATCACTTTTATAAATAACTCTTGAAATTTCTTTTTCTCATTCTTGTTTGGGCATTTGCTATTGTTTTGATTTAATTTTTGTCTAATACAGCATCTCACTATGTAGTCCAGGCTGGACTCAAATTCATGATCCTTTGGCCTCTGTCTCCCAAGTGCTGGAGTTGCTGGCATGGACCACTATCCCTGCTGAACTTTTGTGGCCTTTCTCATTATCTATCTATCTATTTATTTATTCATTCATTCATTTACCTATCTATCTATCTATCTATCTATCTATCTATCTATCTATCTATCTA